GAAAATCTGTTCGGCTAGATATCCCTCATCTGTAATTAATTCATCCAGACTATCAACAAACTTACATGCTCCTTCCTCATCCGCACTCGCTGCTTCTCCAGTCACTTGAACACTATGCATTTGGAATCTTTTCTTGAATCTCTGGAACCAGCCAATGCTTGCTCCAAATTCTTGACTGTAATCTTCTCCAGCACGCTCCTTCATAGTCTGAAATGGACTTCTCGCCTTCATCTGCACAGTAAAAAGACTTAATGTTGTCTGTTTTTGAATTTGATCTTCCATCCAAATATATAGCAATTTCTCCATTTCGTGGACGGGCCCGCTTCGTTGCTTTGTTATAACTGTTGATCGCGTGGGTGCAGAACCTTTCACAGCTTCACAAATTCTTTATCTTTCAAAATCGTTGATACAGTCGAGTGTGATAACTTCATATCACGTGCAATCACATTCACTTTCTTTCCTCCTTCGTACTGCTTAATTACCTTCATTTTCGTGTCGAGATTGATGGCCTTTCTTTCCTTCCTGGCAGGCTGAGGTGTAGACAAAGACCATTTCCTCTTGATAGACATCTTGGGAGGGGTTTGATGAAAAATATCCAAGACACAAAATACAAATTGCTGTACTGAGTCTGGGATAACAGTTGAAATGGTGCATGTGGAGATGGTAGTGCTGCCAGAAGCTGGTCCGCACTGTCGTACACCCAGCTGGGCAACGTTTGCACTGCCAGATGCGGAGCAGTCGTGGCTAGCGATTGTGGTCATAAAGTAGAGTGGTCGTAAGTTGCATAGGTCGTATGTCGATCAATACCTGCAATCATTTTCTTCCACAGCCCCCAGCACAGAGCTTTGCACATAGAAGGTGCTTCGCACATAGAAGGCGCTTTGTAAATGTTTGCTGGAAACAAAATAAGCTACATACATAACTTTAGGTAGATCAGTAAATTAGCAAGGGAACAACTACTTTCAAGATGTTTAGAAGAATTAAAGCAAGGGGGAAGGGACTTATGTTGCATAGTTAGCTAAATTATATTGCCTGTGGTTTTGATTTCTTCTGAATTGAAAGGCTGACTGTTCAGGCTTGCTTTGTGTGCATGACAAGACTAAATAGGGACATTAACAATATACTTCACAAGTAAGTCTCAGATTCTATATATTCATGTGTATTTGGATGTATCAAGAGGATTCTGTACCTATCACAATGACTAGAACTGTTTAACAGACTCACTGTCACCTTGACAAAGGTGCTCTTAACAAAACTCTGGAATGAACATTTAAAAACACAGTTGTCCAGGCTGGGCATGGTGGCTCATGCCTGTAATCCCAGCACTTGGGGATGCTGAGGCGGACGAAGCACTTGAGGTCAGGAATTTGAGACCAGCCTGGCAAAAATGATGAAGCCGCATCTCTACTGAAAATACAAAAGGTAGTCAGGCGTGGTGGTGCACATCTATAATCCTAGCTACTTGGCAGGCTGAAGCAGAACAATCAGTAAAACCTCGGATGTGGAGGTTGCAGTGAGCCGAAATTGCACCACTGCACACCAGAGTGGGTGACAGAGCAAGGCTGTCTCAATATAAAATACACAGTGTCTGTACAAAATCTTTAGGCAACTTGATTCTGGTTAGCAAGAGCACCACACAAGTGCAGTCTAGAAAAGTTGTGTACATTCTGTGTAGTAGCCTTTGCAGTGAGATGCCTGACCATTTCTCTGGTAATCAGTTCAATGTCTGGAAGACCTGTCCAAAGTCACTTCACATCTGCAGCTCAAGCACGTTGCTTTCTCACACTGCACTCTACTTTGTCCTTTGTCATGGTTGCTGCCTGAATCTTCTTTCACCAGATTGCTCCATCTCTTATTTCATATTGTATACACCAGTCACTGAATAGGATTATCTATATTCTTCTAGATCCCTGGCTTTGTCCACAGTAGCAGATGGTAGGCTAGACTTTGGGGACACAGTAGCAGGGTTATGCCCTCACTGCGCCTACCAGCCAGCAACAGTTTGCTGCCACACTGGGCTAATGGTGCCACCTTAAGGCCCAATGGGCCAGGCCTTATGCTTTCTCACACTGCTCAATTTTGCCTCCCACCTTTTACCTGCTTTTCTTCCCTTATCACGTCAATACATTATATCTTCCTGATTTCCTTTCATCTCCTGTCCAGCTTCCTTCCAAACACTAAGCTGCTTGTATTGTCAATATCCTTACTTCCTGGTCTGTCCACCACATCTTCCTTGAAATTCCCCAATCTTGGATTTACCTAATCATTGATTTTCTCCACCATTATCACCATAGGCTTCTGAAAGCCGCTGGAGAAGCTCACCGTGGCCATGATTTCAGGAACTCAGCAGGGCTCCTGGCTGAGTTCTGCATTCCTTGCCCGAACTTCCCTGTGTCCCCAACCAGCCATGCTCTCTCCAACTGCTACTGTCTGACTGCCAGAAGATGACCTGGTCCTCACTCAGAAACATGACACCATTAGGCACGAACCCTATTTCTCAATCTCCTGTCCTTCACATGGACAAAATCAGCTATATTCACATCTGTCCTTTTTCTTGATTCAGATGTGACCCATCTACTGCTCCTAATCTTGATGAGGTCCTTTCCAGCATCTTTTATTTTCTGTGTCCTCCCCGTGTACCGTATAATGTGGTTCTTTCTTTCATCATAAAGAGAGTTCCTTCCCTGAACTTGGACATCTCTCTGGCTACCTCCTACCTCTCACCTTTTTAAAATTAAATTTTTAATACTTCAAAAAATTTCCATAAAATATTCCGCACATACTGCAAGGTTTAAGAATAATGTAATGAGCAGCCATATTCTCAGACCTAGCCTAGAGGAACAGAAGAACATAGTGCACCTGAATCTATGTGTTTTCCAGTTATACATCTTCCTGTCCCCATCTGACAATCAACACCATCCTGAATTTTGTGCTTAAAATTTTCCCTTAGTAAAAGATCATATATGTGGCCTAGGGTTCCATTTCACTCTTGGTCTCTGTTCTATAGGCCAGTGAGTTCTGAGCCATCTGGACACTCTAAAGATGATACTTCCACTATATCTTTGACTTTATGCTTATTGAACCAGGGCAGTAGGAAGCAGCAAGGGTTGTGGAGGCCTGAGATACATAAAAGAGATAAAGCCTCCAATGACTTAGGGCTGGCTACATTATAATCTTTTGGAGATTGGTTCATGTTTGCCAGAACACCTACTCTCAAGTAAAAAGAAATGTTTCACACCTCGAGCTTCAAAGAAGAAAACACAACTCCTAATAGGCTCCATTGGTATACATGGCATACTTATGACTATTTTTCTGGACCATGCATCAAGTGCTATGCAAAGCTGCCAGCCTTACATGGGACCCACTGTAGGAGAGCTCTCCATAATACACCTAGGCTACACAAGATGCCCTGTTGCTTGGGCTGTAGGACCTGGAAAACCAGACATGCTAGCGATATATTATAGGAAATGATACTTGTGAGGTTTATGGCAGACCCCAAAAGGAAAATGACAACATGGACCTCCTTGGACTCAGTAACAAGGCTTTGCCATCTGGATCTGCAATTCAACACCTTTCAAAACACAACTACAGGCATGCCACTGGGCTCTAACGGAGACAGAGCTTCTGTCATGGATTATCAAGTGACCATACAGCCAGAAATGTCTATCATGAGCTTGGTCTGACACTGGTCAGAAAGTCAGGTGAGCCACGTGCAATCCATCATAAGGACAGAATGCACAAGATCCCAGTGTGGTGCCCTCTCAGAGAGATGAAAAGCTATTTGGTAGCAAATAGAACTACAGTGAACCCCATCCACTCTTCTTAAAGGTACTCAAATATGTCATTTTTACTAACTTTCTCCATACGTGCATTTATCTGCTACTGGAAACTGAAACAGCACATAAAATTTTTTTATTGTAATTCAAATTTTTGAAAACCATGAAAATTAATTATCAAATTATGCTTTAGCCAAACTACCCAATGTTTCCTTTACCCTACTTTATATTCTTTATACTGGATATATATAGGATATTTTTTATATTGGATATAAAGAGTTCAGCACTCCTTGCACGATCTTCCTTGTGTCCCTACCAGCCACATCCTCTACAATTACTACTGTCTCAATACTCTTTGTATTCTTTATATTTCATCTCACTGACTTCAAGTTTCTAAAACACATAGAAATATTTAAAATCTATTGGTGTTTCTTTGGGTCAAATATAAAAGTAGAACTAAAGTATGTTAGTCATTCAAATACATTCGACATACACAGATTCCTTAAAAATTACTGGTATCAAAGTAAGAAGCTTCCTTACTTACAAAGAAGGAAAGAAGGCAAGAAAAGAAAGCAGAACTCATAGGTTAGCAAAATTATTGGTATAGTTTATTCTATATGTGGTGTGTAGTATGTGTGAAGAGTGCATGGTATGTATGAAGTATGTGTGTGGTATGTGTGTGGTGCATACGTGTTAAGCGCCTGGTGTGTGTGAGGTGGGCATGGTATATATGTGGTGTATGTAAGGTGGTTATGATATGCATGTGGTGTGTATGGAATATGTATGCGAGGTGGGTATGATATATGTATGGTGTGTGTGAGGTGGACATGGTATGTGTGTGGTGTATATGGGTTGAATGTGTGGGGTGTGAGGGGGGCAGGTGTATATGTGGTATGTGGTGTGTGGGGTGGGTATATGTGTGTTGTGTGAGGTGTGTAAGGGGTATGTGTGTGAGGTGGGTATGATATGTGTGTGGTGTGTGTGTGGTGTAGATGGTTAGGTGTGTGGGGTGTGTGAGGTGGGCATGGTATATATGTGGTGAGTGGTATATGAGGTGGGTATAGTACGTGTGAGGTGTATCTGGGGTGTGTGTGGTTTGTGTGAGGTGGGTATGATATGTGTGTGCTGTGTGTGTGGTGTAGGTGGGTTAAGTGTGTGGAGTGTGTGAGGTGGGCATGGTATATATGTGGTGTGTGAGGTGGGTATAATATGTGTACGGTTGGCAAGGTAGTAGGTGTGGTGGTTGTGGTGTATATAAGTTAAGTGTGTGGTCTGTGAGGTGGGCATGGTATATATGTGGTATGTGAGGTGGGTATGTGTGTTGTGTGTATGGGGTATGTGTGTTAGGTGGGTATGATATATGTATAGTGTGAGGTGGGCATGGTATATGTGTGATGTATGTGTGGTATATATGGGTTAAGTGGGGTGTGTGAGGCGGACAAGGTATTATGTAGTGTGGGGTGTATCAGGTGGGTATATGTGTGTTGTGTGTGGTATACATGGAGTACGTGTGTGGGGTGTGTGAGGTGGGCATGGTACATGTGCAGTATGAGGTGGGCATGGTATGTGTGTGGTGCATATGTATATGCACCACACACATGCATACCTGTGCACTGCAGATGACAGGCAGGGCGGCAGACCGGGACATGCAGCAGTGACCAGTTCAGCCAAGGCAGGGTTCCGGGTGGGAGTGGCCAGGTCCCTGGCAGCTCAGGATCCTGGATGCACTAAGAGCCTAGGAGGAGAGAACAAGCTGTGTCACTACCTCCACCAAAGCTCATCACTAACATGAACGTATAAGCTGCACTGAAACTGTTCCACCTGTGATTAGAACCAGAAACACGCCAGATGGGCTCGGCACACCCAAGGCAGGGAAACTGTCCTCAATGTTCTCCTTCACTATCTGCGGCCACATCTACCACCAGCAGCCTTGCCAGACAGTGCCTGCCTTGGGGAAGGGGCCTGGCCCAGGGGCAGGTCCCCGCTATGCCCCCAACCCGGCGCCTGCAGTTGCCCGGGGCAACGGGGTGTGGGGTCTTTAACTGAGTTTTTCCCTCTGGGCCTTATTATAAAGGGAAAGAGAAGGGGGCGAAGATCGGGGCTCGGGTTCTCCGGGGACAGCGAACCCCGAGGCAACCCCAACCCAGTTGCCAGGTTGGGCACCAGGAGTTGATGCCAGCGTCAAGCAAGGATGGGGGAACGCACCAGCGGTCCGCCCAGCCCAGCAGCGGGACCAGAGTGCCTCCCCAACCCCAAATAGCGCCTCTAGCTGGTGCCGGGTGCCCATTCGCCGCGAGGCCCCCTCACCAAGCCCAGGGATGCGAGAGACCCGCCTAGTACCCGCTGCATCCACCCACCGGTCGTGGGAGAGGGAAGTGGCCGGTAGGAGACTGCCGCTGGGCTGCACCCCCAGATCCCATCAACAGCCGCCCTGCAGCCCCACGGAGTCCACAGGGCAGCGCTAGGGAGCACTAGGGCCGCAACCTCCTGCTGCCCCCACGCAGCCGGGTCCCTGCAGCGCCGCGGGAGGCCCCAAGCTGCCACCGCCGGCGAGTCAGGCAGCCCGGGGCCCGCAGCTTACCTGGCCAGGGCGCAGGGCTGCTTCAGCGCGCTGCCGTCCCCGCCCCGCCGCCACCCACTTGGTCCGCAAAGCGGAGCTCCTCAGCCGAGCCCGCACCCAGCCGCACACACTCAACGCAGCGCCTGCGGCCCAGGAGCAACGCGGTGTGGGGTTTTTAACTGAAAAGGTTTTCCCTCTGGGCCTTACTATAAAAGGAAACAGAAGTAGGATAAGATCCGGGCTCGAGTTCTCCAGCTACGGAACGCACCAGCGCCCGGGCCAGCCTGGTGGGACCCGAGCAGGCGCCCTCCCTCCCTCACCACTACCCCCACCCTCACCCCTACCCCAGCCAAACAGCGCCTGTGGCCTGCGCCAAGTGGCCCGTCGCTGCGGTGACCACGCGCGGGATGCCAGAGCCGCCGCCTGGTCCCCGCTGCACTCGCCCGCCGGTCGTGGGAGGAGGAAGTGGCCGTAGGAGAGGAGTGGGGCCGCCGGGCTGCACCCCTAGATCCCACCAACAGCCACCCTGCAACCCCGCGGAGTCCAGAGGACGGCGCTCAGAGCACTGGGGCTGCAACCTCCGCGCCGCCCCACACTCCTCCGGGTCCCTGCAGCGCCGCGCAAGGCTGCAGGCTGCCATCGGCGAGTGAGGCAGCCTGAGTCCCGCAGCTTACCTGGCCAGGGCTGGGGGCTGCGGCAGCGCGCTGCCGTCCCCTCGAGTCGCCGTCCGCTCCATCTGCGAAGCCGAGTCCCTAAGCTAGCCCGCGCGGAGCAGCCCCGGGCGCGACCCGGAAACGGCCTACGGCAAGCGCGCAGGGCCGCCTCCACCGGGCGCACGCGCACTCACCTGAGCCTGCGGGACAAGCGCCCCGGAACCGCTCCCTTCGCCTCACCCTATCTTGGGTCACTGGGGCGGGAAGCGCTTCCCGGAGACACGGCGCGGCGGAAAGAGATGGAATACAAAGGTGATGTGGCTGGGGAGCTGCAGTGGTCTGGTCCTGCAGGTAGAGCCGGTGAACACGAGGCTCCCATCGTGTCACCGCTATCGCACTGCGCCCTGCTCACTCTCCGCCCCGCCCCCCCCACCGCAGTTCTGAGAGGCGACCCTAGAGCAAGGAGCCCTCCGGGATCGCCGCCTACGAAAGCCCCCTCCGGCGGGAGAGGCCCCCTGCTGCCTCCCCACTGCAGCTCCCCTAGGCGCGTGCAAGACTCCAAGTCTTCCCTACGGTCCCCTCTAAACACGACAGCACCCCGTTTCTGATACCTTGTGCAGCTTTAGCCCCCAACCCTAGGGCCTCACTCCAGGCCATTCTCTCCTTGCTGTCCTGAATGGAGAGGACCCTGACCTCCGTGGGGCCCTGGGGAGCACACACACACATCCCCAGGGGAGCCAGTCTTCGCCCCGACAGCGTGAGAAATTCCCTGGAGGCCCTGGAAGGTCGTGCCAGAGACTCCGGTGTCACCTTCCGCCCTCTGGCCCTTTCGTGGAGTCCCAGGCAGACGTGGTAAGCCGTGGGAGACGCACAGGGTGCCTGGTCTAGGCAGAGCAGGGGCTCAGGTACCTCCCTCCCTGAGTGATTTGCCCTTCTTTCTCCTTGTGGCTGGATTAGGTGAAGCTGTGTCCGAAGTTGGAGGGGTAAAGAAGGACAGGGAACCTAGCGGGTGAGTAGAGCCCATCTTCCTGCTGCCTTGAGGGCCGGAGCTGAGACCCTGAGAAGAAGGGACTGGGGGAAGCCGAACCCTGAGCTGCACTAGGGTTAGATATATTGTGGACTTGGCCTCTCCTCACTCTGCCCCCACCAAAGACTCACAAATCCCCAGGGCCAGAGCTGCCAGTGGGGGCTGCTCCTGGTAGGGCAGCTTTGTAGCCACAGGGCCAAACAAAGGGGCAAAGGCAGAGCTGGGACAGGCCAGCGAGGTTCGCGATCCCCTCCCCGCTCAGGTGAGCATAGCTTCACTGCTTACTTTCCACCTGGATAGATATTCTGCTTACCTGGCCAACACAAAGTTCATCCAGCCTCCTGTGGCCCAGCCTTTCTTCAATGCCAATGGTGGGAAGCAACAATTACGAAGCAATGATTCCAAGAAGATAAATTCAGTTATCTTCTTGCCTGACCGTTGTGTGGTCACATCCCATAGGAAACCAGACAGCTGTGCCTGAAGCTGATCCATACAACACCCCCACCTCCTCAAACCCCCACCCCCCATCTGTGTGAATGTGTGCGGGTGGGCAAGTTGCATGCTGTTTCTTCAACAGCCTCCTTTGAGATCTTCTGCTGGCAGGCTCTGGGCCAGTCACTGGAGATTAAACCCCATCCCAGCACCCGGCAGTGAGTGGCTGATGTCCACAGTCCACAGGATGAAAGGTACAGGCCTAGGGCCAGGAAGAGTGGCTCCCACCTGTAATCCCAATGCTTTGAAAGCTGAAGCGAGAGGCTCACTTGAGCCCAGCAGTTCAAGTCTGCAGTGAGCTATGATCATGCAGCTTGCACTCCAGCCTTGGTGACAGAACAAGACCCTATCACTTTAAAACATGAAATAAATTAAAATTTAAAAATAAAGGTACAGGCCTACCCCCAGCCACACTCAGGACCTAAATCTGGTAGGCTTGAGCCAACTGCCAGTATTCAGAGAATGTTTAAAGAATCATTAGGACAAATAGCTAATGCAGGCAGGACTTAAAACCTAGATGACAGGCTGATAGGTGCAGCAAACCACCATGGCACATGTATCACCCATGTAACAAACCTACACGTTCTATACTTGTATCCAGGAACTTAAAGTAAAATTTTTAAATTAAAAAAAAAAAGAATCAGCCTGGGCAAGGTGGCTCATGCCTATAATCCCAGCACTTTGGGAGGCCGAGGCAGGCAGATCACGAGATCAGGAATTCGAGACCAACCTGGCCAACATGGTGAAACCACATCTCTACTAAAATACAAAAATTAGCTGTGCATCGTGGCAAGTCCCTGTAATTTCAGTTACTCAGGAGACTGAGGAAGGAGAACTGCTTGAACCTGGAAGGTGGAGGTTGCAGTGAGCCAGGTTCGCTCCACTGCACTCCATCCTGGGCAGCAGAGTGAGACTCAACCTTGGAAAAAAAAAGTGGGGGGATACAAGACAGTTGCTTCCTGTCTTTCTTGCTGTCTGCCATGTGAGGGTACAAGAAGATGGCCCTCTGTGAACCAGGGGGTGAGCCCACGGCAAGGACCAACCATGCTGACACCCTGATCTTGGCCATCTAGCCTTCAGAACTGGGAGAAATCAGTGTTTGTTATTTAAGCCACCCAGTCTATGGCATTTTGTTAGAGCAGCCCAAACTAAGACACCCTAATCATAATGATATCGCCCTGCATTTCCTTCTAAATGCTTTCAAAATTTTGTTTGTTTGTTTTTTCTTTGAGACAGAGTCTCACTCTGTCACCCAGACTGCAGTGCAGTGCATGATCTTGGCTCACGGCAACCTACGCTCCTGGCTTCAAGAGATTTTCCCGCCTCACCCTCCAGAGTAGCTGGGACTACAGGTGCAAGCCACCAAGGCCGGCTAATTTTTGTATTTTTAGTAGAGGTGGGGTTTCACCATATTGGCTAGGCTGTTCTCAACTCCTGACCTCGTGATCTGCCCACCTCGGCCTTCCAAAGTGCTGGGATTACAGGCATGAGCCACTGTCCCAGCCCACTTGCAAAGTTTTGCCTTTCACAACTAGATCTTTAATCAACTGGCTTTTATTTCTGATATGATGTGAACTAGGGATCTAGTTGTATTTGCTTTGCATATGGATAATCAATTGTGCAAACTCTACATGTAGAATATTACTTCCTTTCCCCAATAATCTACAAGGCAACTTCTGTCTCAAGTTTCCAGGTGTTGTGGGTCTTTTGCTGTGTTCATCTTCTCTTCCAATGGCTGATTTGTGGATCCTTGAACACTTCACTGTCCTAATTCCTTTACCATCATAGCATGCACACAAATCTTCAACCTTCCATTACCCACTGACCTCTATGCCATTGAAAGTATCTTCATTTAAGTTCTGTTAGAGGCAGAGCTTGAGTCAAGGATCCAGGTACAAGCACTTTTTAAGAAGGTGCTTCCAAGAAGCACAGGTAAGAGGGTGGGAAGTGAGACAGGGAAGGGAAGAAAGCCAACAGATGGTGCATTTATGATCAGGTTGCCACAAAGGGTAGCTGGGGCTCAAACTCACTAGGCCCTTCAAAGATACTGCAGCTGAGGGGCGGGGGAGCTGCAGTATTTATCCACCAACTCCCATTCCTCATGGCTGTTTTAAAATGGACACAAGATTTACTTTAATCAGATAGTATATAAGACACACAGATATGGAAATGACTGTCCTGAAGGAAGGAGTTTTTTATAATCAGAGGTCCCTAGAAACAAGTGCCAATCCGTGCTATGCAGGGATACATGGAGAGGCAGCAGGGTCAGTCAAGAAGTCAAAGGAGCTAGGGGAAAACATGGGCAAGAGCTTTATTTGTGGCATCCAAGGGAAAGGCAAGGCAGGGTAAGCAGGCACAGAATTAGCTGCTAATAGTTTGAATAATTTCACTCGGCTCTGGGGCATAGGGCTGTCCCTAGTTGTCTGGTTCATGGCTCTGGGGTAGTGAGGGCAGGTGGACAGTGGCCCAGTACAAGAGCCTGATGAAGAAGGTGGTTGGGGTTATGGGCTTTGGATTAGCTGGTTTGCAGATGGGAAGGTGCACTTGCAGGTGAGTCCTTTACCATCTCTAGGAACTGGCTCACCTTGGGTGGAGCAGTCTCTCCAGGATCAGCAAGGCCCCAGCTGTCAACACATCAGGAAATACAGGAAATGAAAAGGCATGATGAATACACTGAGGGTGCTCTTGAAGTCATCAGCCCCTGGCATGTATGTGGCTGGCAATGCTGAGGGCCATAGGGACAGCACAAACAGTGTCTGCTGCACTTTTTTTTTTTTTTTTTTTTGAGATGAAGTCTTGCTCTGTCACACAGGCTGTAGCACATTGGCAGGATCTCCACTCACGGCATCCTCCGCCACCCGGGTTAAAGCAATTCTCCTGCCTCAGCTTCCCAAGTAGCTCAGACTACAGGCGTGCGCCACCATGCCAGGCCAATTTTTTTGTGTTATAGTAGAGACGAGTTTTCACCACGTTGGCCAGGATGGTCTCAATCTCTTTACCTTGTGATCTGCCCACCTCGGCCTCCCAAAGTGCTGGGATTACAGGTGTGAGCCACCGACGAAGTCTAACTCTGTCACTTAGGCTGGAATGCAATGGCTCCATCTTGGCTCAGTACCCCCTCTGCCTACTGGGTTTGAGCAATTCTCCTGCCTCAGCCTTTCAGGTAGCTGGGACTACAGGCACATGTCACCACGCCTGGCTAATTTTTGTATTTTTTGTAGAGATGGGATTTCACCACATTGGCCAGGCTGGTCTCGAACTGCTGACCTCAGGTGATCACCCACCTCAGCCTCCCAAAGTGCTCAGATTACAGGTGTGAGCCACTGCGCCCAGCCAGCTACACTATTCTTGGCCCTTCAATGACTATATGAATTTTCAGATCAGCCTGTCAAGTTCCAAAAACAACTCTATTGAGATTTGTCTGGGGGTTGCTTGAATTTATAGATGAATTCAGTGAGAAGTAATAGATTTATAGCATTGAGTCCTACTATTCATAATATATATGGCATATATTTCTG